TTAGATAAAACTGCGATCTTCTGGCTGTGTAAAAGAATCATCGGAAAGCATTTTATTGGAGTTTCTTTTGCAGAAGGTAGCGAAGAAAATGAGGTGGTTGTTGATGGTGGGGTCATGTGGTTGGCAGATGGTTATCCTCATCCTTTCGGTGAAACAGGAAAGCAAGCTTGGATCCAGATAGTCCAAACGCGCACCGTTGATGTTTTTTTTTATCCGGTAATAAAACTTCGTTCCGGAAGTATTTTGTCATACACTTCACTGTAAAACAGCGCTTTATTTTACATGAATTGTCATACCCTGGTTGGAGGTAAATAGCACGTGTGTGTATGTGTGTGTGCGTGTACATACGTATGTATGCACGCACGCACGTGTCTGTAAAGTGTATGTGTGTTTATGTGTGATATTTCTTGTTTCCCGCACAAATATCTTGAAAGCAGGCAGCGGATTTAGTTTTTTTCATAGTTTACAACTAGCAAGATGAATTGAAGCGTGCTAACATTGTCTGATGTCTCTTCATCCTGTTTTTTTTTCTCAGCCCGTAGCCTAGCGTCTGTCAAGTTGAAACCCTTAGCCTCACCCAGTAGGCTGCTAACAAATTCAAAATTCCGACGGGATTTTTGGCTAACGGTATCGAAAGGCAGCCATTGTTTGTTTCGCTCGCTGTTGTGATGGAACCCTCCCATTAGGCAGTGGTTTATAATTAGTATAACAGTGATAACAAACAAAAAGAGTAGTGCGGGAAATGTTGTTTTTACCTTGCCGACAACCGGCGGACAATGCGCATTAGTGAGTGGTAATCGCGAAAAAGTAAATGACATTCGGACCCCCGAAGAGGTGGAGTACATGCATCAAACGGACGGTTGGTACTAGCTGAAGGCATACAGTTCAAGATCGAAAGGCCTGGCATTAGCTGCCCTCGGCGTGTAGGAACATAATCAAACACTCAAAGAAGAAAAGTCAAAGCCCCAGCAGCCATATTCGCTCCCAGAAACTCTTGTGAAATATCCAGAATGGTAGCGAACACTTTACTCGCCGATAAAACTATCGACGAGTTCCTCTTTTGAAGACTGCTTACTGGCTTGAAAGATTCAACCTCCGAATTCCTGGCATAAATAACATATCAACAAGAGATATCCCGACACTGTGGTAGCTCGAGCGGCCTTGTTGTTATTAACAACGCAATGAGCAGCCCTAAGAGAAATCGTTTACTTGCATGTACACAATGATGATTGTTTGGAGGAGCGGATCTTGATCATAAACACGTGGTACCACCGCTCGTATTTCATGCAGATTTTATGCAAATGAATATTGTGTTTCGAAATAATACTGTGTGCGTAGGAGCAATAACACGCTTACAACATTTTTCCCCTTCACCCGTGTTTGCTGGTGTATTACAGCAGAAATGTTTGATGGTGCAAGGCGCTCTGTTTTTATGAGGGAAGCAAGGCTGCTGATGGTTCGAGAAACGCAAACATTTTCATGTTTTCCCGTTGCCAGTTTTTTTTAGTCCTCATCTTTGTTCTTTTCAAATCAATGTGAGAATGCTCCTCTTCTTCCCTGCTAGATGATATTCAACGAAGAATAACAGTTTTTTACGTTTTAAGTTACAAAACCATCACACAGAGATTTATCGATGACTTGAGGCGTTGCATAAGTGTTGTGTGTGGTCGGTGTGAGGAAATTAGAGGAGAAATGATGTCTAAATTCACTGGAATGGTAAAACAGGGTTAGCCCGAAGTAGAAATTTGAGTGGAAACAAACTATTTTAGGAAATCAGACGACTGGGCTGGTTTTTTGTATTTTTGGCTTGTTTTATTTTTTTGGCTTATTGGCTTACTTTTTCTTATAACTTTGATATTGGTATATTTATTGGCTTACTTATTTCACTTTCTTATTTATTACTCATTACTTACTCTTGTTACTATAACTTATAAGCTTACTTATAACTTTGAAATATTCAAAATCTCTAAATTCCAATCTCTTTCTTCATCTCGCTTTCGGAAGTACAGACAGTAGAAGCCACTCCATTGGTAGTACATTTTCAGCAACAATCGCTTACTCGATAAGTTTTATTTCCAGATAGTTACTTAAAATCAAACTGACAGTTGTTCCGATTTTCTAGCTTATGCCAGTACTAATGCATCATCGAAATGTATTCTAAGTGGATTTCAGCCATAAGCTTTGAGAGTGATGTCGCTTACTACTCTCCTAGATCAAATATCATGACCAACAGAATAAAAGGCGCGATATCTGAGAGCATTCTAGTAACACCACTAACGTGGTGCTCTCAGACACTGGACGTAGCTGTGCTAGATTTTTCATTGCTGGGCAGTTAGTACTTGTCACCTATTTCATGTATTTGCTCTAGTTCTTCGGATTCCACTCAGCTCCAGACAACACGCGAAAATCCAACAAGAATCGATTTTGCCTGTGGTCGACGAAAAAAGAAAACCATACGCTGTCCTAATGTGGCAGAATTGCTCCCTGGCTTTTCTGAGGCACGAGAGCCAATGGTACAGTGGTTTAGCACGTTGCGTCCAAATGTGAAGACGAGTGGTTCGGTTCCTTCCCACCGCACACCCATTTTGCAGTATGGGATCTAGTGAAAGGCACCTATCGGTCATTGATTATTGGCGTCAAATATTGTTCATTTCAGTACTGTATGGCTGCATTTTAAATCAAAGTACAATAGTAAGTGTAGGGCTTGTGGGCCTTCCTAAATGATCTTTTTTTCTTCAGCATCAATCATTAACCTTTGTTCTTCAGTCATGACCTAAATTTCAGCTTCTATCTTTTCGTCGAGAACTATATATTTGTTGAATTTTGTCTCATCATCCAGTATTTTAAGGTTTTTTTTTTCAGAATTTCGTTTTTTTTTTTTTTCACTCACTGTCGACACTGCACTGCATTATTCGTAAACGATGCCGGAGAATGAGCTGGATGAGGAAGAGTTCAACAAAGTTATATCGGAGAAGTATTATGTCGATTCGAACAAGGTGAATGAAGTGATCAATAATGTCATGAAGCGAGCTCAGTCGTTATTGGACGATGTAAGTTTTAGCGTGAGAGCAGTTTTAAAAGTTTCATTATTTTGAGCAATTAGTAAAATTCTGCCTCGACTTAGCCAAGTTCAGGGCAAATTACGATAGTTGTGGTATGTGTACCCTTGGATGGCGTATTTCGGTAGAATTGGGTAACGGAGGGGAAGACCAGAGAGAGAGAGAGATGTTGGCTTAGGAAGTGAATTATTCGAAACTCGAAGCAAGCATCGTTTACAAAGTAAAAATTACACCTAATACTTTCGAAAACTAATCGGCGATAAGCGATTACATCACAGGAGCACCGAAATTTTCAAAAAACCATTGTCCCTGGGATATTGAAAACCCTGTTTAGAAGGAGTCTTTTATGTAAAAAAAAAAAAAAGTTTTCTTTTAGAAGCGCGATTTGTTGAATCTTATACCATACATCGACCTGACAACACTGAACGGAGATGATACAAATGCTGTTGTACAACGACTTATTGATCGAGCACTTCAGCCTTACCCAGCGGTCAGTGGTCAGTTACAATTAGAAAATTTATTTTTACTTATTAATGAATCTGGCACTGCAGTAACTAGCAGTACTCTTGTACTGAAAGTCAGTGCTTGGACTCCACTAATAATATAACCAGTCACTCAACGTTTCGTTCATTCGTTTCAATGGTAAATTGATTTTGGTACTTGCTAAGTCTTGTCGAAAAGAATGGCCATCGATAGCTTTGCCAGCAGGCATTTGCAACTTCCGATTGCCCCACCTTCGGTTTGAAGTAAAAAACGGAGGTGTTTTGACTTTTGACCAGACGGCTAGCGGAAATTCTTTTTGTAAATTAGCTTGACTCCGGTGTGTAATACATGTGTGTTCGTGTGTGTGTGTGTGTGTGTGTATGTGTGTGTGTGTGCACTGGGAATCTGTAGTTTATACTGTAAAGTCAGGGAAAAAGAGCTAAGGGAAATCTGATAGTCAAGTTTCATCCCTACCCGACCATCTGCATCTTCCAATTTTTTGTTTCTCTAACGAAATTCATTTCAGAATCCAAGCTTAAAATGTGCATCTATATGCGTTTATCCTGCTCGAATTGCTAATGCCAAGTGTTATTTGTTCTCGAAAGGAAAAAATTTACCAGTTAGCGCAGGTAAGAATCGTTCATCTTCTATGCAAGAGAAGACCACAGTTTTTTTCGATGCATTTTCCTAAGTTCTGTAAGTCCCTGATTTGTATGGTAGAGACCCAAACTTTTAGACCTTCTTTTTTTCATCTTTCATATAAATTAGCTTTACCATTATGCTACTTTTTCGCACTTCATTTTTCCACTGCATTTCATTTTCTTCTTTTGATAAAATTTTACAAGCTTTTGGTAAAATTTTGTCTTTGGTTAACTTTTTTCGTTTTTAGCTGAATTTTGTACTAATCATGTTTGCAATTTTCTTATATTACTTCCGTTCTTTTTTGCTATTATATATGGTTTTTATGGACGCGATTGCATCATTAAGCTGAGTGGGAAGTGCACCGGAGGTTTTTCCTAGAGCAACTAGTTCGCTGAGCTTTTATCAAAGTATCACTAATCAATCTTTCGGTTTCTTTAAAACTTTTGATTTCTTAAAATTTCTTCTATAATGCTATGAACGCCCTGCTTTCAAGCAACCATCCAAAGAAGGGCAGCCTGGTCAGCTGGTGACTGCTGTTGTCACCATGTCATCACTCGAGCATCCTAATTGCTTTCATCTTTCACGGGGAGCGAAAATACGGAGGAAGTTTTGACTTTTTTTTGATTTAGTTGCAGCAGGATTTCCATCAGGTCAATATCGAATAGAATCGAAAGCTCTGGAGGTTAAATTAGCGATTGCTGATGGTGCTGATGAGATTGATGTCGTGATAAGCCGAGATGCTGCATTGGAACAGGACTGGAGACGTGAGTGATTCTTTGAATTTTGATCACTGCATTATAGATTTTGGGAAATTGCTGTAATTCACTGCACTTGGCCGTGCAGCATACATTCACTTCTGGATTCTGGTTCGAGTTGCAAAAGCCGTGACTTCGGACCTTTGCGAAGGTTCCAGGTGTTGCGTTCAACGTTGCTAACTCTCCCTCAACATCAAGCTGCAGGCTGAGCATGAAAAATCTGTAGAAACACTCCCCTCCCATAGGCCCGGCTCCTGTTTCATTTCCCATCTGCAAACGGTGTTCCAGTTTTTTTGCGGTCAATAACCCCCTCTTATTTCTACATTTCACTTACTTAATAATCTGTGCCACTATCGAGGCCTAGTCTTGGCTTTGAGTAAGGAGGGAGGAGAGGGAAGGAGGGGGCGAAACACTCACCGCACTCCATCTTCTGGTCCGCCAATGTAACCAGCAGCACATTTCCCACCTGTCCCCCCCCCCCCCC